GGTCATCCCCTCCAGTGGATACTCTACGTGCATGGATCAGGGTGATCCCAAAACCAGATAAGAATCTTACTCTATGCAACAACTATCGTCCCATTGCGCTCCTCAATGTTGACCTAAAACTGTTTGCCAAGATCCTAGCCAACAGACTGCTGTCCTTTCTTCCCCAACTGGTTCACCGGGACCAGGTGGGATTCATACCGGCGCACGAGGCAAAGGACAATACCACCAGGACCCTTAGTGTTGTTCACCGGGCCAAGGTGGTGGGGACCCCGATGCTACTACTCTCTACGGATGCCGAAAAGGCATTCGATAGAGTGAGCTGGGATTTTATGTCGGGGGTTCTCTGCCACATTGGCCTGGGGAAAAACATGCTGGCGTGGATCATGGCGCTTTATTCCCCCCCGACGGCCGCAGTTCGAGTTAATGAAACTAGATCACAGGTGTTCCCCCTCACTAACGGGACTAGGCAGGGCTGCCCATTGTCCCCCCTGATTTTCGCACTCACTTTGGAACCATTCCTTCACACTGTGCGAAATTCCGCAAATATCGCGGGGCTAGACACTTCCTCGGGAACTCATAAAGTGGCCGCATACGCGGATGACCTACTTTTCTACCTTTCAAGCCCATTGACTTCGATACCACAGCTGCTCCAGGCTTTTTCCATCTATGGCCAGCTCTCCAATTTTAAAGTCAACGTCCACAAGTCGGCAGCCCTCAATATAACAGTACCCCCGGAGGTAATAGATCTCCTACGACCTCACTTCCCGTTTCGATGGGAATTACACCACCTCCAGTCTCTGGGTACACTGATCCCCAGGGACCTGGATGAAGTCTATTCCACTAACTTCCTTCCATTACTACAGAGAATAGCCCTGGACTTCAAAGCTTGGCGCCCCCTCCATGTTTCTTGGCTGGGACGCTGCGCCGCGGTAAAAATGAATATATTGCCAAGGGTCTTATATCTTATGCAGGCACTCCCTATCAGTCTACTAGCCCAATTCTTCAAAACACTACACGGGAACATGATCTCGTTCATCTGGGGGGGGTAAGACCCCCAGATTGAGCAGACGTATTCTATCACTTCCCAGGAATAGGGGGGGAGTAGGACTGCCGGATGTGTCCCCATACTACTCTGCTATACACTTGTCCAGACTTCTTGAGTGGAGCCTCCAAAAGGAGGATAAGAAGTGGGTGGCACTGGAGCGGAGTACTTACCATTTCCCCATAGAGGGTCTCCCATGGCTGTCCTCCACAATACCACAAGAAATCAAATCTCACCCACTGGTGTACACGAGATTGAGAGTAACGCGAAAAGTCCTGAGGACCTCCACCATATCACCGACCCCCTCGCCTCTGACGCCGGTCCTCGGGGACCCTGACTTTGCACCAGGGGCCGACAATGGTCGACTACGCCGGGCTCTGCTTCGTGCCCACAAATTCCGCCTACGGGATTTCAGAGGCCCTGAGAACTGGCTACAGGTCCCGGACCTACAGTCCCTCACGGATCCCCCGGTGGAATTTTGGGGCGCTCTCTCTCTAAGACAATTCCTCAGGGCTGTACCGAATGCGACACTCCTGGCAGACCCTTGACGGTATTTGAACAGTTATGTTTAGATCAGCTTCCTACACGTCACGCAGTATCCCAAATATACAAATTACTACAGGACCCCGCGGGGGATGTATCACTGCATTTCCTACACAACTGGGAGCTACAGTGTACGTTCACGGAGCAACAGAGGGCCACTATCCTGGCGATGACATTCAAAGCCTCGATAGCAAATAGATACAAGGAGTCAGGATACAAGATTCTGACACGCTGGTACGGGGTCCTGTGGTTGCTCCATAAAATGAACAGCTCGATCCCAGACTTGTGTTGGAGGTGTGGGGGGGCGTCGGGCACGATGTTACACATCTTTTGGACGTGCCCTGAGATACAGACATTCTGGAGGCAAGTACTGGAGCTGATTGAGACACTGACAGGGGCAGACCTCAGGGACAACCCAGCAGCATGTTTACTGCATCTGACTAAACACTCGATCCCCAGATATAAATGCTCCCTGACACATCACCTGTTGAATGCGGCTCGGGCGTGCATACCCCTGAGATGGCGGGATCCTCTCCCACCCTCAGTCCGATTATGGCTCTCCAAAGTCCAAGATATCTACCAACTTGAGGACCTAACTGCCACGCTAAAAAACACGGAAGCTCGCTTTAATGCCACCTGGAGCCCATGGTTGTGCTACAGAATCTCTGCCCGGGACTCCCCTCCACATTCACAAGCCGGTTTGACCGGGACTCTGTCCCAGGGGTTGCCATGAGGAACCTGGAGGGTTTGTAAGCCCCGGGAATAACTAAGGGGGCGCTCGACTTCTGTGGGCGCCTAGAACCTGGTGGATGTCGTGGGACCCGACCCTCTCTGCACCCTTTCTCACTTTTTTCTGCTATCACCTTTCCTTCAACTAAGAGACACTGTCTTCTCCCGAGAATAGTACTTAGTCGCAGAGCCTTAATGTACAGAATTGTTACGGCTGAATGGGACGGTTGATGCACCTACGACTGTACTAAGCTGTCATGATTATTCGGATGTGATTTTTTTTCTTCTTTCAGTCGGGATATGGTACCTTGATGCGGAGTAATCCGTTTTATTACGAGTTCTGTGGAATTTATGCCCATGCTCGGTAACCACATACAATGTTTTTTTGTATTTGACTTTTTTCTCAGTCAATAAAGAATTTTTAAAAAAAAACTCCGAGGCTCAGGTGAGTATAACTTTTGTTTATTTTCATCCCGAGATGAAAACGAGAACTTAACCCTTGCAGTGAGGCTACTCTCCCCCCGCACGGCAAGGGTTACGAATAACTCTGCCCGGAGTTCTTCATTAAGCAAACACCTCAAATAATTAGGGCTGCAACAACTAATCGACATAATCGATGATTGAAAAAGTTGTCAACTTTTTCAATCATCGATTAATCGGCTTCTGATTGGTTGGCCCTGTTCACGGCTCCAAACACGCTGCGCGCCACACCTCCTCCCCACATCACGCTCGCCGCTGCCAGACCCGCCCGCATCTACGCTCCACACCTCCTCCCCGCCTGAGATGAAGGTAGGAGGAGTAGGTGGGGGCGGATGACAGCCGCCGATAAGACAGGCCTGATCTCAGAAACAAGTTGATGGAAGACTGCTCGGGTAACCCTGCACTCCCACCCACACATGGTGCTCTATAATGTATTGCTGGGATTTCTATTCTTCTATAGCTATGGTACATTGTGCTGTATATTATACAGAGCAATGTACCATCAGCTATAGAGGAATACAAATCCCAGCAATACATTGTACACTGTATGTATAATAGATTGATGGGATTTGTTGTTTCCCTATATAGCTGGTGGTATTCTGCATTGCACTGTATAGAGGACTACAAATCAAGGAATAATACATTATACAGCGCAATGCAGAATACCGCCAGCTATAGAGGAGTACAAAAAATCCCAGCAATACATTATACAGTGGTGCAATGCCGAATACCACTAGCTATAGAGGACTACAAATCCCAGCAATAATACATTATACAGTGCAATGCAGAATACTACCAGCTATAGAAGACTACAAAACCAAGCAGAATACCGCCAGCTATAATGTACTGTTGCTGGGATTTGTTGTATTCCTATATAGCTGGTGGTAGTCTGCATTGTGCTGTATAATGTACAATTGCTGGGTTTTGGAGTCCTCTTTAGCCGGTGCCATTCTGCATTCATTGCTGTATAATTTTTTTCCCTTTTCATTTCACTATATTGTTACCCACCCTTCATTTTTTTTTTTTTTCTTTTTTACTTCCACCGCTCCAAGCTTGCTCCTGTGATGGACTGCAATCTCAATACAAACTAGAAGTCCCATCACTGGAGCCATTTTTTAAAATGTATTTTATTTTTTATCCGATTAATCGAACGTAATAATCGGCTAACTAATCGATTTTGAAAATAATCGTTAGCTGCAGCTCTACAAATAATACATATAAATAAGAGACAGAAACACTTGACAAGTATAATTTATTGTGGAGTATTGGGATTCCGACCCAAAGGCACTGTGTTTAAATGACTCATCTCCACTTCACCCCAGTATTGGTGGTCAGTGGAGTATAAATCTCCCCTCCCCAGTATTGGTGGTCAGTGGGGTATAAATCTCCCCTCCTCCCCAGTATTGGTGGTCAGTGGGGTATAAATCTCTCCTTCTCCCCAGTATCGGTGGACAGTGGGGTATAAATCTCCCCTTCTCCCCAGTATTGGTGGTCAGTGGGGTATAAATCTCTCCTTCTCCCCAGTATCGGTGGACAGTGGGGTATAAATCTCCCCTTCTCCCCAGTATTGGTGGTCAGTGGGGTATAAATCCCCCCTCCTCTCCATTATTGGTGGTCAGTGGGGTATAAATCCCCACTCCTCCCAGTATTGGTGGTCAGTGGGGTATAAATCTCACCCCCAGTATCGGTGAACAGTGGGGTATAAATCCCCCCTCCTCTCCAGTATTGGTGGTCAGTGGGGTATAAATCTCGCCCCCAGTATCGGCGGACAGTGGGGTATAAATCTCCCCAGTATCGGTGGACAGTGGGGTATAAATCTCCCCAGTATTGGTGGTCAGTGGGGTATAAATCTCCCCTCCTCTCCAGTATTGGTGATCAGTGGGGTATAAATCTCCCCTCCTCCACAATATGAGTGGTCAGTGGGGTATAACTCTCCCCTCCTCCCCAGTATTGGTGGTCAGTGGGGTATAACTCTCCCCTCCTCCCCAGTATTGGTGGATATCGGGGTCTGAACCTCTCCTTCTCCAGGCTTGGTCTCTATATCAGAACTGATATGGCCTAGACTCCAGGTTGATAGTTCACGTAGGGGGACAGTCCAGGCCTGGTGGTCACTGTGCTGCTCCATACACGCTTCCAGACCTGACCAGTAGTAAAGATGGCGGATTGGGCCTCTTCCAGCTCGTCGTCCTGAACGTCAGTTTCATTTTGAAGGGAAGCCTTGGGCGGCAATGTGAGCGAGCTCCGCCTCTTCTGGAGCTGCACGGCTCCCGCATTGGGGAACATGGCGGCCTCTGTCATTGTGGAGCGGAGCTACACCGAACTGAGCGGGACCGAGCGGGAATCCAAAAGAAACTTCCGGGAACTGAGCCTGCGGCCCGGTAATGAGCTGGGGGAGGGGCTGTATGTCTGAGCACCGTGCTGTGTGCCCACATTGCATATAAAACCTGAATGGAGGTCCTATTACTGAAACTGCATGAGGCGGGTCTACATATAAACGCGCTATCACTGTACTGCTGACACGACACCCTGTATTCCTGACCCCCCTCCACCCCATGTATGTAGGCACCCCACACTGCTGACCCTCCTAATGTATGTAGGCACCCCACACTGCTGACCCTCCTAATGTATGTAGACACCCCACACTGCTGACCCTCCTAATGTATGTGGACGCCTCATGTATGTAGGCACCCCACACTGCTGACCCGCCTCATGTATGTAGGCACCCCACACTGCTGACCCTCCTAATGTATGTAGGCACCCCACACTGCTGACCCTCCTAATGTATGTAGGCACCCCACACTGCTGACCCTCCTAACGTTGTGACCCACCCCCCAATGTATGTAGACATCTCACACTGCTGACATAGCCGCCCCCCATACAGCTGATGTGTGTTATATAGAATACACTGTCCCTATACTGTTCACATTCTGTATATAAGCACTCTGTCCTATGCAATGCTGGTTCCCAATATCTAGGTGCACTCTCCCCATACTGCTGCTTCCCAATATCTAGGTGCACTCTCCCCATACTACTGGTTCCTAATATCTAGGTGCACTCTCCCCATAATGCTGGTTCCCAATATCTAGGTGCACTCTCCCCATACTGCTGCTTCCCCAAATCTAGGTGCACTCTCCCCATACTACTGGTTCCTAATATCTAGGTGCACTCTCCCCATACTACTGGTTCCTAATATCTAGGTGCACTCTCCCCATAATGCTGGTTCCCAATATCTAGGCGCACTCTCCCCATACTGCTGGTTCGTATATCTAGGTGCACTCTCCCCATACTACTGGTTCCTAATATCTAGGTGCACTCTCCCTATACTGCTGGTTCCCAATATCTAGGCGCACTCTCCCCATACTGCTGGTTCGTATATCTAGGTGCACTCTCCCTATACTGCTGGTTCCCAATATCTAGGCGCACTCTCCCCATACTGCTGGTTCGTATATCTAGGTGCACTCTCCCTATACTGCTGGTTCCCAATATCTAGGCGCACTCTCCCCATACTGCTGGTTCGTATATCTAGGTGCACTCTCCCTATACTGCTGGTTCCCAATATCTAGGCGCACTCTCCCCATACTGCTGGTTCGTATATCTAGGTGCACTCTCCCTATACTGCTGGTTCCCAATATCTAGGCGCACTCTCCCCATACTGCTGGTTCGTATATCTAGGTGCACTCTCCCTATACTGCTGGTTCCCAATATCTAGGCGCACTCTCCCCATACTGCTGGTTCGTATATCTAGGTGCACTCTCCCTATACTGCTGGTTCCCAATATCTAGGCGCACTCTCCCCATACTGCTGGTTCGTATATCTAGGTGCACTCTCCCTATACTGCTGGTTCCCAATATCTAGGCGCACTCTCCCCATACTGCTGGTTCGTATATCTAGGTGCACTCTCCCTATACTGCTGGTTCCCAATATCTAGGCGCACTCTCCCCATACTGCTGGTTCGTATATCTAGGTGCACTCTCCCTATACTGCTGGTTCCCAATATCTAGGCGCACTCTCCCCATACTGCTGGTTCGTATATCTAGGTGCACTCTCCCTATACTGCTGGTTCCCAATATCTAGGCGCACTCTCCCCATACTGCTGGTTCGTATATCTAGGTGCACTCTCCCTATACTGCTGGTTCCCAATATCTAGGCGCACTCTCCCCATACTGCTGGTTCGTATATCTAGGTGCACTCTCCCTATACTGCTGGTTCCCAATATCTAGGCGCACTCTCCCCATACTGCTGGTTCGTATATCTAGGTGCACTCTCCCTATACTGCTGGTTCCCAATATCTAGGCGCACTCTCCCCATACTGCTGGTTCGTATATCTAGGTGCACTCTCCCTATACTGCTGGTTCCCAATATCTAGGCGCACTCTCCCCATACTGCTGGTTCGTATATCTAGGTGCACTCTCCCTATACTGCTGGTTCCCAATATCTAGGCGCACTCTCCCCATACTGCTGGTTCGTATATCTAGGTGCACTCTCCCTATACTGCTGGTTCCCAATATCTAGGCGCACTCTCCCCATACTGCTGGTTCGTATATCTAGGTGCACTCTCCCTATACTGCTGGTTCCCAATATCTAGGCGCACTCTCCCCATACTGCTGGTTCGTATATCTAGGTGCACTCTCCCTATACTGCTGGTTCCCAATATCTAGGTGCACTCTCCCCATAATGCTGGTTCCCAATATCTAGGTGCACTCTCCCTATACTGCTGGTTCCCAATATCTAGGTGCACCACACTATTGGTCTCTGTTACATTAGAGCACTACTTGTGCTCTGCTGTGCTGACTGCTCATATATACTTTAACATTTCCCCTGCACTGCTGACCCCTAGTACACCGTCACTGTTGATCTGTACTTGGCACCCCATTGCAAGGTTACTGGCCCTTATTATTATGGCACATGACTCATAAGCTACCGACTATTATTTTGAAACACTGGCCCTGCACAGCTAACGGCTAATATACAGGTATACAACCTTCTTCTTGTCTGATTTCTAGTATATAAACTACTGCTCACCCCAAGAATAGTGGCCTACAGTTCATGTCATCCCTCCCGAATACACAAATATCAACGTGCCGCTCCAGAGTCAGAGATCTTGCATGGCTTTGGAGCTGGAATGCTCTCCCACTGCATACTCTGGGTTCTTGTGAGGATGGATGGAGGCACCCCTGGTTTTAGCTTTGTCAGCTGTAGTACCTGTCTGCAGTAACAGTTTTGGTTGAAGCAGGAAACGGGTTTATTGCAGTTGGAGAAACAATTATATTTTCAAACACTTTTCCCGCCGGAGACCCAGAATGAGGTCAATAACTAAAACCAGATTCATGGCAACTTTTCCTGTAATTGTTTTATTCATCAGGTTGTCAGTTGACGTTCATAAAGAGTTTATATGAAGATAGAACTGTGACAGTTTGGAGTTTTTTGGTGTTTATTTGAATGTTTTACCTGTGTCGTTAATAACTGAAATTTACATCCCGTTGCAGATGTTACGCCTCTGGTTGGAGGCTCAAAATACAGCGAATGCGCCGGCGGTTATTATTACAAAGACAGCAGCAATCTGCTATCTGCCACCAGGAATCGCTTCTTACACTGGTGAGTGAAGCTGTTGTAAGCCGTGTCCGAGCACTTGTTTGTTTTAGGTGGTTCCTTTTCTTGGTAGGGTTGAGTTACTAAAGAAGCTATTTACTTAAAGGAGAACTATGAGGTGAGTGATTTTCACTCATCCTCATAATTCGAGCCGACGTGTGACAATGAAACTGTCACACGTCGACTTAATAGATCGGGAAGTGAGCGAACGCATACCGTCACTCACTCCTCGATCATGTCCCTGCAGAGAGCCGTGACTGTCACTCACGGCTCCCTGCAGGGATTTCCCTGCTCCGATCCTCCAGCGCTGACTGGCGGAACGGACGGGGGCTGGGGCGAGTACAGCTGGCTCTGCCTCTAGATAGGCAGAGCCAGCTGTCAATCACGCAGCAGGGTGGATCTCGACAGTAATGTCGGGATCTGTCCCGGCTGCGGCGGTCTCAGTATACCGCGAGACTGAGCTTTGGGTCACGGGAGGACGCTAGTTTGTGTCCTCCCGTAACCCTTAGGAGAACTATGGGGAAAAACACTTACCCCATAGTTCTCCTTTTTAATGTGAATTTTCCCTTCGCTCAGTAAATAAGGTGAAGCCGTCTTCACTTTGAATACCCATCCATATGCAGGGAAAAGCCAGCACAGCTTTGCCTCATTGAAAGTGACACTAAACTCAGAAGGTAGATTTTAAAAATGCATTCAAATCCCCTAACCATTTACAATACTGGACGTTATATATATGCATCACTCGGCTGTAGAACCTCAAATCATCTCTGAATTGGTGCTGACACTGTCCTTCCTTCTGGAGGGGGGCTACTTTTTGTTCCCCATGGTCCCTGTGTGTGTTTTATAAAGTAGTCACCGCTCCGAGCTCGCTCCCGTGATGGACTACAACCTCAATACAAATTATGAAACTAAACGTGAGATTGTAGTCCATCACAGAAGTAAAGTAGCCACCGCTCCAAACTTGCAACGCACATAGGGACCTAGGGAACAAAAGTAGCCACCGTCTAGAAGGAAGCTCAGCGTCTGCACCAATTCAGAGATCTAAGGTCCTTATCCCAATTGACCTACAAGCATGTCTTTGGAGTGTGGGATGAAACCGTAGAGGCTCAGCATCACATATGGCATTACCTGCTGTTTCCGGGCAGCTATGTACAGCCCCACCCACTAGCCATAATCTGCCTGCGTTGTATAGGGAAGGACAGGGAACCAGTGATGACATCACTGTGTCTAAAATAAAACTGACAAAACTTTGCGCCAATATAATAATCAGCAGAAAGCACTAGTAGAATTAGCTCTACCACCTGAATCTCAGAAAATAAAAGTGCCGTACTATGCACCCTTTCACGTAGCACAGCAATTATATATTTATATTTTGGGTCTAAAATAAAGTAATGTAATGAAAATGGAAAGATTTTATGAAAAAATTCCATTAGCATGTTGATGAGTGGGTTGGGATGAAGCGGAGAAGGCAAAATACAAGTACAGTGGTACCTCTGTTCGCGAACAGGAAGTTCGGCAAAATTTTGCTTCCGTTCACGAACGCCACATCGTGTGACGGACACAACCGCAGCCATCTTCCCTGCTCTGACACATGGTTGTTGCTTCCTCTAGTCGAGATTGCGGTCTAATCACAGTTTGATTCGGTTCACGACCAGAATCGTGGAACGAATTAAGTTTGTGAACCGAGGTACCACTGTAGATTAAACTTCAGCTTTAAAACCATTTATGTAAAGGGACCACAAAGTGCCTGTGGAATTTATCTTCACAGCGTAGGTCGCAGTGTGCCAAGGATTTGTCGTGACAGCTTTGCCTTAAATTTGCTTTATCCAAAGTGTGAAACTGTTCAAATCTAATGACATTTGTTGTTTTGTGTAATCATAATGCTGCAATTCTGTAGGCAAAGTTGTCCGAATCCCTGAAGTCAGGTCTAAATGCAAAACATGTCTAACTTGGCACCTTTTATGAATGGAAAGTCTTGTGTGCAGAGTACTAGATTTGCTGGTCCGTACATTTTGCACCAATGTCAACCCTGGTCCTGGTGTAAGAATACTTTGTTGCATAAATTGTTTTCATGTTCTTCTTTTATCTTTGCCCTCAGGACCTCCCATGGGGACACTCTGGAGCTGGTGGAGGAGTCTTTGGATACCAACCTCCTGAATAATGCTATCCGACTCAAGATCCTAAATTGTTCCCTTTTACCTGGGGGAGTCCACGTGTGTGAGACACAGAGCAATGTGATTATCCTGATTGTCACCAATCACACCGTTCATAGGCTGGTACTGCCCCATCCTTCACGCATGTACAGAAGTGTAAGTATGACCTGATACACTAGAGACGAAGCTTACTTTGGTGTAAGTGTATGTCAGGGTAAAATATTTATGATTTTAAAAATGCTGGACGTGCAGAAAAATCTCTGATCAGAATGCAGAGCGCTTCCAGCACAGTGAGCTGAAATTTAAACCAGCGTTGTCAGCCCTGCCTGCTAGGCTACAGAACTCTGCCTAGCCCCTACCTCTCTCTGTCTTTCTCCACATGCATGCATTGATTCCTATTCCAGCAAAGCTGCTACCTTGACTCCCCAGAGCCTGTCCCACACATTATGTGTAGGTAAAGGGCTCTTGGGAGATGTAGTTCTGTAGTTATGTCAGTAAGAACTGAGCTCTGTGCAGGTGTCCCTGCAAGAATTTTACATCCCTGATAATGTCACAGGGAGTAATAAACTGGGTACATGAAAAAATGTCTGCACCTGCTCTACAGGGGAAGAGGCATGTTTGAGGGGTAAGTTTGGTTAGTTCTTGGACAAATACTTTAAGTGAAGAACCTCTTTACCTATTTGCGCTGTGTTCTCAGGGGATGCCTCAGTGATTTAACCCTTTCGCTGCCAAGCCCTCCGGAACATTTTTCAAATCAGCTGGCCAAGCCATTTTTGAATTTTCTGCAATTTTTTCCTATTGATTTGATTTTCAACTGCTGCGTTGATGCGAAAGGGTTAAATGCTTCCTAGTCATTTATTGTCACACAGACGGTCTGTCTCCATTTTGCTGTGGCCAATGCCTGTGCCCGTGATTCTGTTTTGCAGGAGATCATTTCGGAAAGCCAGATGCAGTCTATATTTACAGATATTGGCAAGATGAACTACAAGGACCCATCAAACAGCTACGTGATACCTGCACAGCCTGGTCGTGCACAGAGCTCCACCACATCCACAGCATGGCTGAGCAGTGAAGGAGAAGCAATGTTTGCCTTTCCGTCAAGTTCCGGTGGCATCCTTGTTGTCAAGATGCCTCATTTTGATGATGATGGTAATTTGCCTTCATGTTTTATATAGATGTTAGCTCCTCTATGCCAAGGGTATTTTTTTTGAACATAGGCACTGTGCAGTAGTCCATTTGTCTCTGATTGTTTTACAGTAAGCTGCCTGGACACATTTTTATGATTTGGTAGTGATAAAGTGTTACATTTGGTAGTGTTAAATCTTAAAATTGCATTCAAGAAACTTAACTATTAATAAAAAAGAATCTTATTTGTGTGTCACTCGGCTGTAAATCCTCAAATCATCTTTGATTGGTGCCGACACTGTCCTTCCTTCTGGAGGGCGGCTGCTTGAGGATCTACTGCTGAGTGATGCACAATTGAGTGACATTTTTGTTAATAGTTAAGGTACATGAATGCATTTTTAAGATTTAACTTCTGAGTTTAGTGTCATTTTAAGGCTGGGTTCACACCTGGGCGTTTTTAAGCAGTGAAATCCTATGAATCCTGTGGGCATGGTTCCCACCTGGGCGTATTTCAGGGCAATTTTTCACGCTGAAAAACGCCCGAAATAGTACAGGAGCTTCTTACGGCATATTTCAGTGCGTATCCATTGGTATTCCCGAGTGTTGCTCAGGGTTAACAAAGCAGTAACCCCGAGCCACACTCGGGAATACAGCGTAGGTCTTACCTTGCCCGTGATCCCTGATGTGTCCTCCGTCCGCTGCCGTCTTCCGTCCCTTGCGAGCATCTGCGTCGCAGGGGGGCGGAACCGGCGGGAAGTTTAAAAAGTTTTATAAAAAAGATAGAGAAAAAAAGGAATTTTTTTTAAAAAAATAATCATACCGCCAGGGAGGTTAAAAAACGAGCGTTGAACGCGCGTTTCAGTGAACATAAAAACGGGCTTAAAATAAAGCTTCTTTATTTTGCAGGAATCGCTGTAGAATGGCTACAAATTCTTGCAGCTCTGCTAATAGCATGACAACGATGCCTTTTGCTTGCACTGTGTTGAGCGACAGCATTGTCACCGTGCTATGCTGGCTCCCTAATAGAAATGCAAATGTGTCAGCACACAGGACGCTGACCAGTCCAGCATCAGCTCAGGTCTAGGTTGTCACCAGCCAGCTTCTGGAGCTGCCACAACCACCAAACTCCTTAGAATTTTTTGTTTGCTGCCATAACACATCATTGTGAGCCCATTCCTGCATCTTGCCATGCAAGGACGCACACAATCACTGGAAGTACTGTGTTGTAGTGATGCACATGGCTTTTTTTTTTTATTCGTTTATTAACTGACAGAGTCGACAGATTAGATTTACAGTAACGAGCAGCGGTGCATATGTTAGAGACAACAACATGTGATCACGGTAATGTCAAGCTCTATACAATAAATTCCACTGTCAATGGCAAACAGATCACTGACCATTTGTATAACAACAAACCAAACATTTCAGATGTAACGTCAAACAGCATCTGGTGTGTGTATAGTACGGAGAAAATCCACAATCCAGCCGGATGTGGTTTGTGTCAGTTGTGAGAATAGTAACGACAAGATCACTGTGTGATTTAAACAAAACAGCTGCATTCTTTAAGTATGTAGGCACCTTAGAGGGAAACGCTAATGGTTTTGGGTCTATTTTATTCTAGCTTTTTTTTTTTTTATTTACAAGAGACAGCACAGCAGTGAAGATTGCTCTGAGGCTTCATTTGTCTGATTGAAACTTCATACTGATAAGGGATGAGTTATTCCAGGTTAAGCTTTTAAGGTTGGTAAATGGCCTCTAAGGAATGGTTGGAAATTTTTGAACTGGATCTTGAAAGCTTGGCCTGCTGCCTCAGCAGGAGAATACAGACTATTAATTGTTCATAATTACTTGACAAGAAGATTTTTAAGACTTGTTTCTTTTCAGTCCTGAACATAATAAAGAAACGTACAAAGTGACTTTACATCCCCTTTAAGACTTTACAGTCGGCCAGCCCCGTTCACCTAAGTGCCCATTCACACTGGGCGTTTATTCGCGCAATTCCTGCTGCGATATCGTGCAAATTTGCCGCGCGATATCGTGAGAAGTCGCCGTCCCATGATTTTCAATGGAGCTGTTCTATTGAACAGCTCCATGTCGCGGGGACCCTTTTTCCCCCGTGGATGTCGCGCGATTTTTCTATTTTTGCATGCAGCCCCACGGTGAAGGACGCGCGATCGTTGCCCGAACAGTCGCGCTATACCCGGCCGCGCGGATCTGTTCGAGGTAAGTGTCGCTTAGTGGCCTTATAGTCCAGCTTTCAGCGTTTTTGCCTGGGCAAGGGTCATATCACTGGGCCGCCTTGCAGAATCCTGGGAAACCTGAGAATCCCAAATCCCTGGCAGAGGGCTGAAGCATCTTTGTTTGAGTTCTGGGATCTAAGTTTCTCAGGATCCTGCTAATTATTTTTTGAAGTAGGGGATTGCAGGTTATGTGGACCATTTTGTTTTCTTGCAAGGTCCGCTGTAAGGATTTTTGGAAGCTTTTATCTATCTGTTTGTTTGTTTTTATCCCCAGGGGTTGCGACTACTGTGGAGCTAAAGCAAACCTCTGTTATGAAGTTACTTACTGGCTGGATGCCATCAGCAATACGGTTAGTATGTACATTGTCACTAAGGCCTGGTTCACACCTAGGCATATTCTCTCACTTGATTCTATGGCCCCTGTTCACACTTTTTTGCATTTTGTCGCAAGCAGAAAAACACCTGTCACGCAAAATCGTACGTGAGCTGCTTTGGAGCAGATTCAGCGAGTTTTCTCCCCATAAACTCAATAGAAAAACGCTTGAAACCGCGCGGTGCGATTTTTATTTTTGCGCGCGGTTTGCCCATTCACATGAATGTGCCAAAAACTGCTCACAAAAATGCGCAACTTATACGCAGATTATTTTTTAAAAACCTTCAAAAAGAGACGCATGTAAAATGAGCATAACGGTGTCGCTTAGGTCTGAATGGAGCCTAATGGAAGTTTCTGTGATTAATAATACACCGTTTCATTTTTTTGGTTGTGAAGCTATCATGGGCAAAGCACAAGTTGATATTGGGAAGATTGAAACAACATCTGCTAAGCTCAACAGAAGCTAGCAGACTCTGCGTGTGGAGACTTCCTTTTTCTTTATCCCACCTACATTTTAGACTCAGACCCAGATGATTGCTGTGAGAATGCACTGAAGCCTCATTTGTAATACTGACCACAAGGAGTTGAATTTGCAGTCGCTCCTTCATTACAGCAGTTGGACATCTGTCCCATCCATGGCCACTTGAGATCCAATGACAATCCAACTGTATACAGTTTAACCCTTTTGCTGCCGTCAGTGAGGGAGCTCTGTAGCCCTTACGCTGGCTGCGTTTTCTAAGCTGGTAAGGGCCAGTTCACACCAATTGTGGTGCGTTCCAGAGCGGCAGCTGCTGGAACGCACAGCAATCGCACACTAAACTTCCCCCTTTGTTCTGGGGCGGGAGGGGGTGTGGTAGTGCATTGAAGTCACCGCAGCCACGCCCCCCCCCGCAGTGCGATCAGACGCATGGTAAAACATTGCCTGCGTTCAGGTCCACTGCGAACACACAAAAATGCTGCATGCTTTTTTTTTTTTGCGGTCGCAATGGACCGGAATGCAGGTAATGTTTTTTCTGGGTTTTTTCAATCACAAATCAGCCCCCAAATATGAATTCTTCTCCCCAGGCCGAGTCCTTCTCTGCAGCATGACGGTAGGGAAAGTGCCTCTCTGCTTTGCAGAGCTTAATTTTTTTTGCGGTCGCAATGGACCGGAATGCAGGTAATGTTTTTTCTGGGTTTTTTCAATCACAAATCAGCCCCCAAATATGAATTCTTCTCCCCAGGCCGAGTCCTTCTCTGCGGCATGATGGTAGGGAAAGTGCCTCTCTGCTTTGCAGAGCTTAATTTTTTTTTATATACACCTGGAATTAATTTTACTCATTTAACCTGAAAATTTAATTGGGCTTTAAATTAAAGTGGGATATTTTTCTTCCCTAGCTTGTAGAATAGTTGGGTTTCCCATAAAGCTGAAGGTATGTGTTAAATAGCTGACTAAGTAAGATATGAGTGAGCAGATACCTAATTCAATTATAATTTTTTTTTTCTGTAGAGGAGATCACGGTCCAGCACATCTTCCTGTAAGCTTAGCTGTCCACTGCCTAGAACACGATGCTTTAATATTTGCATTGTGCCAGGATCACAAACTCCGCATGTGGTCTTACAAGGTAAGTGCCCATAGCAGACAAAATTCTGGAATTAATATTACTGAAATGTAGCTTATTCATGTTTGTTTGTTTTTTCTCTCGCCTATTCCAGGATCAGATGTGCCTTATGGTTTCTGATATGCTGGAGTTTGTGCCGTTTAGCAAGGATATGCGGCTGACTCCAGGCACTGGCCACAAGCTGAGGCTGGCACACTCGACATCTATAGGACTTTATCTTGGGCTGTACCTACACACACCCAGCCAAGGGCAGGTATGCATACTCTCCCAGGCATCAGACAATCTGAAGCCAAAGATTTTCAGACCTTTCACTTTATTATCACATCTTGGTTGTTTAGGGGATAAACCCGTCATCAGTGGGGTGCTTGCTTCAGCTCCCAAAGGGAATAGCTTCTAGTATGTTTGTTTTGTATGTACTCACCCAAATGCTCCGATGCCTAGCCCGATACTTCCGGTATCAGGATGCCGGGCAGTGAGTCTCTTGTGACGAGGGAACATGGAGCTGGCTTCCCAAGCCAATCAGGAAGCCGGGCAGCGTGTAATGACGTGGCGTCCGGCTTTCTGATTGGCCGGGAAGGCGGCTTCATGCTCCCTCGTCACCTCATGACGAGGGAGCATGGAGCCGGCTTCTCGGCCAATCAGAAAGCCGGACGCCACGTCATTACACGCTGCCCGGCTTCCTGATTGGCCAGAAAGCTGGCTCCATGTTTTCTCGTCACCTGGTGACGAGAAACATGGGGATGGCTTTCCTGCTAATTGGGAAGCCGGGTGGCGAGTCTTTACATGCCGCCCGGCTAATCAGGATTAGTGATGCGCTCGGGCGTGTTCGCAGCTCCACGTGCCGAGCCCGCCAGGAAGCTGACAGCATGCAGCGCCAATCACAGGCACTGAGACATTTCCCGATCTCTGCAGCTTCGGACCGGGAGCATGTCTCAGCACCTGTGATTGGCGCTGCACGCTGTCGGCTTCCTGACGGGCTCGGCACATGGAGCTGCGAACACGCCTGAGCCATCACTAATCAGGATGCCAGGTGGCGAGTCATTACACGCCGCCTGACTTCCTTGACTTTGGTATCGGCGAGTACCGGGGAAAAAAATATTGGTGCTCATACTCGATACCGAAATACTGATATCGGTGCATCCCTAGTTTATAGGTTTTGTGTGACTTTTCTAGAGACAGTAGTTACTTAGGCTGCCTGGTTTGATGTGAATGGGCCAGTGTTGTTTGTACAGAATATGTTGTGTTGGCTGGCACTAAAAAGGTTAAAATGGAATTTTATATCTGCCACAACGCTAAGAATCCCTTTGGGATTTGCTCTTCTGTTATTGTTGGTTATGCTCTGCCTGTTCTCTGAGTGTAATTCCACCCTCTATCAGTATGTTGCAGAGGAGGTAGAGACTATTTTGGAGTAGTAATGATTTAGAGTAGACCTTTCTTGTGGGACTAAATGATTCTATTGATAGGTCAGGCTGTCTGAACAATCTCCTCAAAGTCCTGGTAGACATGCTGCATGATGGTGGTACTGGTGGTTCCTAGTAGATGAGCAGAGGGGTGCCCCTGCCTACAGCAAACAAATAGTATAAAACACATGACACATGCCTTTTTGTTCTTGCAGTTCTGCGTCTTCCAACTAGTTACTGCTGAAAGCAATCGGTACAGTCTAGATCATATCTCCACAATTTTCTCAAACCAGGTACGGAAATTTGAAGTATATGTTCTATTTCTTGTGCTCACTTATCAGCAGTTTGCAGAAATCATTTGGATGTCTTGTGTTTTATTTTGTTTGAAGGAAACATTGGTTGATTTTACATTCACATTGGCAACTACAGATATTTGGGCCTTGTGGCTCGATGAAGAAAACCAGACCATTGTGAAACACATTAATTTTGAACAGTAAGTAGATCTCCATTTATTTATTTTGTCTGAAAAGTCCATGTGGTTTAAAATGTGGTAGAAGTAAGACACTGAAGGTCATGCGGAACAAGAGGTGGCCAGGTTCAATATTCTGTAGTGCCTGCTCAGTTGTAGCTGTTGAGGTTTAACTGAAGGACAACATAAAGTTTGGAGTGTTTATGCTGCCATATTCTTGAGCTTTTCCATTCAGAGGGTTTCAGCTTGATGTCAAGAGCTTCCTGCATTCTAGGCTCTTTCTCCCTATACAATTGTGAGTGCATTCTCATATTTTACTTTTCACATTTCACGCTTCTTGTCTTGACCTCAAGGCAAAGCTAGGCAGAGGTGAAGAAAAAACACCAGCCAAAGTATATGTCTAGTCAAAACCTTTTTTGTTCAGGGTTGGGAAGGGTTAAAACTCATGCCAGGTTTTTACTGCAATCAGGGCTCTCTTAAGGTGCCCATACACTGTACGATAATCGTATGCGATCGGTTTTTCGTACGATAATCGAGCAGTGTGAACGGAGGCGTGCGACCGTTTCTACTGTACGGTCGCACGTCTTCTGTCGAACCAGCATGTTCGAAAACCAGCCGGGAATCGTACGATTCTCGGCTGGATAGAACGGTGCTCGGAAGACAAATGCCGAACGGGCCGGTGTGCGCACGCGCACACTGCCCGTTCAGCATTGCGGTCATCGGAAGCCCGCCCCTCAGGGGGGCAGGCTTGCGATGATCGAGAGTGCGATCTGCCTGTCCAAGATAGGCAGATCGTACGTTTTTTTTAATCCCTGTACAACCATCGCAAGACTAAAGTCTTTCGATGGTTGTAGAGTGTATGGCCACCTTTAGGAGGTGTTCTGGAATTCCTGCAGCAAGAACCTACGTGTTCCTGTGGCAAGAATCCCAGGTGTCCTGTTCAGATGTACCCATTGAAGTATATGACAGGGTGACCGTTAATTAGTGGTACAATTAACATGTGGTTGGAATAGATTATTTGTTAAAGATGTCACCAGCACACCATATTGAAGTGAAGAACACCATATTGAAGTGAAGTTTATTGACGCTTCATGTGAAAACAAATAATGTTTTGGGGCCACACAGGGTCCCCTTCATCAGGCTTGAAATACATTACCTTTTACGGGTGTTTGTTTTGCTTGACCACGTAGCATGTTAATTTCACATTACAGTAAAGACTCACACTAGTCCTTGATATATAAATGTGTTTCAGTAACCAAGCTGCCCAGTGGAATCATGTTTTCATCAATCCCTTGCCAGAAGAAGAGCTGAACATTGGAGATGAGCAGGATCCAAGGGTTAGTGTGCATATTTGATAAGAGAATACGGTGCACCGGTTTTCTTTTTTTAATTAATGACTCCAGCAAATTATTAAATTATAACTATATTTCATGTTTTTGACAGGAAACTTTCCTGGAGTGTCTGTTTTCCCCTGGAAGATTTACAGTTGCTGCTTTGTTTAAAACATTACAGGTATGAAGTTACATCCTAGGAGAGAACACAAGGATTCTGGAGTGAGACGCTAAAGGGTTCTAAAATCTGAGAAAAGGGAATGTGTGTAATTTATTGTATGGCTTAGGAGGTCTTCCTTTCTTATTGTCCTGACACTTAGTGGTGGGGCCCTTTACCCAACATCCTCTGTGTGCAAAATCCCTTTATTTTGTCAGTTTGTAAGGTTAATCTTTAGCTGGTAACATTTATGGGCTTTTTTGTTTTTAAATGTAGACATGGGGGATAAAGAAACAATGACTTATAGCTACTTCCCTTAAAAACAATGAAGGGAATGTATCAAAACTGGAGTAGATAAAATCTGGATCAGTTGCCCATGGCAACCAATCAGCCTCTCTCTTTCATTTTCAAAGCTTAACTGAAGAGAGAAGCTGATTGGTTGCCATTTACAGCTGCTCCAGATTTTGTCTGCTCCCGTTTTGATGAATTCCCCCCACTCAGTTTAAAAGTGAGCATGATCTACTTCTTTTGCAAATCAGGGTCTTTGTCTTATTCCTTAGTTTTTACTTTAACTTGTATCTATGGTAAAACTAGTTCTGTAAAACAAAAGGGTTGGTATCTATGCGGAAAGGTTAACTATATGTAATCTTTTTATTAAGATTTATCACAGGGGGAGTGCGAAGTTGCCGGACCTGTCGTGGGAAGAGATGAAGAAAGAGATCACTTTAACTGTTGAGAATGAGGTGAGAGATTACAGTGTAGTGTACTTATTTTTTGGGGTTAAAATGCAGTGCCCGTACTTGATGTGTGACTTATGATTAAGGTTCGTTAAGGATCCTTGCGGTTCTTTTTCCTTTGGCCAAGATGGAACACAAAGCCATATCGGCAGCCTGGGAATAGAGTGATGACTGAATTTAAAAACAGGTTGGAACCTGTCCCTATTATTTTCAGGTTGGGAAAACTCAAACATTTGTGTCATGGCTGGAAAGGTGTTGTCATCTGCTTCTCCCCTTAGTCATCCACTGCTTCAATATGGACTACTTTTTAATAGCACATGGAAAAAACTTTCATGATTTTGGAGTCTGTTGGCCACTTTATGGAAGCTGGTGTCCAAATCATACAAAACTGTAAAAAAAAATAGGGTGCCTTAGTGATGCCTGCGCAGGGGGTGGGCATATTTTTCCCTGCATTCATGGTATCTCCTCAAACCTCTGGGTGGAGTCGTGCTCGCCATCATTTAACCCAGAAGATTGAGGACCCTCAAAAACGGTGATATCCAGTATCCTAGAACTCCCCCAGGGTATCCATCAGCCATAGAAGGAACTTTGTTACTTCTTGTAAGACACATTCTATGGAGATATTGATTTTGGTTCCACTTCTAAGGTGATCGCAACAGTGTTTCAAAACACATGAAACAAGTTGTCAGCTTAATACCCGACACTCGCAGCTGAATCGGCTTATTTTTCAATACAAATCAGCTCGTCCTTGTATGCGTGTGTGAAGCGAGTGAGTCAATGGTTGTACAATCATTTTTTTAGAAGATTTCAGGTGTTGGTTTGACAGTCAATGATGATTCGTGTTTAAATTTATTCCAAAATAAAGATATATATTTTTATACTTCAATTGACACTCCTACCCTTTATAACTGTCTTTGATCTGGTCTTCTTTAGATCAGTATCACCCTCCTTTTTGCCAGATAGAAGGTGAGCATTGTAGTCTGGGATGCATTTTATTTTTTTTAAATGCTAAGGGCCTATTTTAGTTTAAGACAACGTTACCTGATGTTGGGGTTTAAATAAGGGCATGTAGGTCCCTTACGGAAATAAGAAGGAAGACTACAGTGGTTGCACGGCAGTTATACTATTGAACATGGGGCAAAGCAATCTATCGGCTCCTAAAGACTTGAGAGCTTGCAGCAAAGAACAGAACTAAGGTCACCCTGCCCCTAAATAAGGGGTGGGACAAATTGAGGCACATTCGCTGTACAGGGGGTAGAGGATGAAGGGAAAATCACTTGCTTACTAACTCACACATATCCTTGTTTTATAGCTGCACAGTCACCTCACAGAGTATGAGATGTCCCAGGAGGAGTTCCGCCAATTACAAGTGGAGTATTGGTCAAAGTTCTATTCATGCTGCTTGCAGTATCAAGAGGAGCTATCCCGCCCCCTTGCTTTGATGGTGCACCCTTACACCGGCATGGTCTGCCTGCTGAGAAAGGTGAGTCTTACCTGAGTACAGTAATAAAGATTGCCTTTAGAGTTGCGGTGTAGCAGACTGCTGCTGTAATAGAAGCCACAGAAAAAGTCCCATGCAAAATTCAGTTCAGTGTGAAGGTTGACGTGCTTCAAACATGCACTGTTGCAGCAATGGAAACGGAATGAAACATTACTTAAACACGTCATATCTATGTGTTAAGCTGGCCATACACGTGTAGTTGCATGAGAAAAAACGATTGATTCCCCCATCTACACTGTAGCATGGGGGAATCTTCCCTGGTAGCTTTTGTATTTCAACAGCGATTGCCCATAGCTGTTCCAATACCCCAATAGTGACTGACATGATGTTGCTGCAGTCACTGTTCAGCTAACAATTTTCAGCATGGCTCCTTTTACAAAGGTTCATTGACAAAATTGACTTTTGCCAAACAGGGTAATGCCGACATGGCCACCCACAGCTCAACTTAGCAGCACTCAGCTGAAATTCGAGCAGTGTATGGGCAGCTTTAAAAAAGGAACTAGAGTATAAGTGATTGCTTTTTGTAACCAGCCAAAGGACTTTTTACATTATACTGCATTGTACCTGCAATGAGACATTCAGTGATGCTAATCATAACTTTACTATATTCCCTCTCCAGGGTTTTGTGTCCTTCTTGGCTCCTTGCTCATTGGTGGATCATTTGTACCTTTTACCGACGGAACACTTGCTTACAGAAGACGAAAGCGTCATCTCAGATGGTGAGATCAGCATGCATTAAAGGGGACCAGTCATGAGAAAGATATGTGAAGAGCAGCTGCTTATCTCTCCTTTCGTAAATGCTAGTTGTCTCTCTCTTTCACTTTGTTGCTTTGACTTCCTGACCCAGAACAAATATAGACATAAGGAACTCTTTTGACTTAGAAATAGTGGTTACTTAAGTAGCAACAAAATAATTAATGCATATGGTCATCGCCATCCAGGTAAATGGGGAGGGGGTGCTGAGGAGAAACTGGAGTGTCTGCTGGAGGAGTGCTACAGGAGTAAGACCAACATGTGTGCGCTGGTGGAGGGATATAGGGGAAATACCAACATGTGTGCGCTGGTGGAGGGATATAGGGGGAAATACCAACATGTGTGCGCTGGTGGAGGGATATAGGGGAAATACCAACATGTGTGTGCTGGTGGAGGGATATAGTTGAAAGACCAACATGTGTGTGCTGGTGGAGGGATATAGGGGAAAGACCAACATGTGTGTGCTGAAGGAGGGATATAGGGGAAAGACCAACGTGTGTACAATTTTATTTTTTTAATCTATTTATTTCTTTTTCTTTTTTTTTGCAGATGTGGATATTGCTAGCGACACAATTTTCCTGATGCATTGTTTACGCATGATTGGAGATTACATTTCCTTTGACATGGCGTACATGATTGAGTCTGCTTGCTGCCATCAGCAACCACCAGAGAGAGTGGCAGAAAGAATCTTGGAAGAAATGATTGCCAATGATGTGTAAGATAATTTTTTTAAATTATTTTGACTGAATTAACCCCTTCGTGACTGACGACGTACAGTGTACGTCGCCAGCATCGGGGCTGTTTAAACAGACTCCCGGCGACTTTTGCCGCCGGGACTCTGTTTAAACTTGTAGAGCCGACTGTCGGCTTTACAACAGAAGCGATCCTGGCGACTTACCTGTCGCCAGAAACCTCAGGAATGTAAAAGTTAATCTTTGCAGTGAAGTTACCCCCGCACTGCAAAGCTTAACTGCTCGTTTTGGTCTAGGGGCAGGAATAAAGAAGATATACTCAGCTGGTTCACCTTTCTCCTGCTGGCTCCAGCTGTGGTATGCCCATTGGCGTCCTCACACCTAATGCAGCAGGGGTTAGACCACTTTAGCACAGGGGAGAGACGGCTGTGGGGACTGGTCTACCAGCTAGGTGGAATCGAGGATCAGGTGTGTGTGTGATATATATACATATAATATATATATATATATATAATCTCTCACTTCTGTAGATCAGACTTCTGTATATATTAGAGTTCTATATAAATATCAATAAAATGTATATAAATGTCATT